GCTTGAGCCCAGGAGTTGGAGGTTGCTGTGAGCAGTGAAGCCATAGCACTCTACCCAGGGGAACAGCTTGAGGCTCTATCTCAAAAAAAAAAAAAAAAAAAAAAAAGAAATAGTCTGTGGTTTTGAAAAGTAGAAGACAAAATAATCTTACAATTTTTTCCTAGAAGCCATGTAACTAATCTACCCCTTAAAGCTTACCATTTCCATATCATGAAGCTTAGCCTTCAGTTGTAAGTTCTCTTTTTCTAATTCATGTAATTTATCAGAACGAGCTCGAGTTCCTTCTAGTTGATCTTCCAACATGGTTTTTGTTTCTAATAAAACCTGATTGTCTTCCTTTAATTCCTATAAACATTTCAAACACATTTTATTTATCACAAATGTGTTAATATCTGTTTACTTTTTAAAGCTCTGGAACATAAGTTACCAAAAAATAAAATCCTAAGCCACCTTTATCAACAGTTCTATGCAAGAATAAAGCTACTGGGTAATAGAAATACAGTTGAAATTTTCCTGGCTTCATTTCTCCTCCCTAGAATTTAAGCTAGTATGCAAACAAAGTACTCAATGCTTATATTAGGCTGAGTAATGCTACTGTAATTTCACATGAAATTATCACAGTATATTTAAATTTCTTAGTCACAAGGATAAGGAATTACATAGTCTTCTGGATATTCAAGACACAAATCTCCATAGAATCAGGGTTTAATTTATTGATTGAACTACATTTAAAGATTTCTCTGTACTTAGAGCTGTAACTTAAAAGTGATGGTGCTCTATTAAAACATATTTTACACAAACACACAGAGGAAATTCTTAAAAATCCCTACATAAGTTTTAAAGATATGTGTTCGCAATTCTATCTTGCTAATTTATATGCCTATGGTTTATAAAATAAAGTCTGGAGAAGGTATATTAAGACAGTAGCCTTTCTGAAAATCCCTTAATAATGTTATGCATTCATATGTCTAAATAACTAGTAAAAAATGAATCTGTACTCTATCTTTGCAATCCTCTTGGGTCTATTTATTGGTAACCTGCAGGCTAAAATATTGTAACTACTTTCTCTTATGCCTTTGGTTCTTGATTTTGTATACGCTCTCCTTCTTATCCGCATATTGAAACTGACCAAAACCTATTTACAGACAATAAGGAAATTAACTGACAATGGAAAAAAGGATACATGAACTATCCAATGCTTGCTATCAAACTCAATGATCAAGCAAGAAAAGTTTTTTGTTCTAATTTATATGTATGTAGCCTTCACTAATCTTAACTTAGTAGTCTTAGTTAAGGAGCAATCAGAAGTATGTTCTACGTTCACTTCTGGGAACAAGTTTGAGATAAATAGAAATAAATACCTTGACTATGAGAGAAGGACTTCAAAAGTCTGTTCTACCTATAATGCTAAATACAAGAATGAAAGAAGCACACAAACAGTTCAATAAATTTAAGAATATCCAAGGATCCCTTTGTAAAAGTCTGAGTAATAGGCTCATCTATCATTAAATAAACACTCAGAGATATTATTTCTTCAACATTTCAAGAATTTGTCATGTTTATTAAGTGCATTTTAAATGTATTTAAAAAATCATAACACATCTAAAAAAATCATGAATGGTTAATTATGCAACATACCTCAACTCTTGCCTTATAAAATTCAATATCATGTAACCTCTCTTTGTATCTGCTGACTTCGCTTTCAAGCTTATCAACTCTGATTGCCTTCTCTCGAAGTGCATCTAATTCATCTCGGTACATTCTGGCAGAACGAGCATCCGAAAGCAAATTCATATTCTTAAATATAAATAATAATATCTTAAGTATTATTTTGTTTCAACTTGTTAATTTTTTAACTGTACAAATTGATAAGTTTACTTCAAAGAATCAATGAATTATATTTTTAGTGGGTGAATTTTATGAAATATGTAAATCATACCACAAATAATTTCTTTAAAATGAGATACAAAGTCTTTTTTAAAAAACCAAGAACAAAAAGTATCTTAAACACATATTTAAGTTTGTATACAATTTTATATAAAGTTCTCTGTCATACAAGAATGTAAAAAAACATTCAGAATATTTTCAAATGAGTTAACTTCTACTTACAATGATTTGCAATTTAGGTGAAAAAGTTAACTCTAAAATAAAAGATAATAAAAACACAGAAAAGGCAAGCTGTATTACTAAAGTTAACCATTAGTTACTTTAATGAAATAAGATTTCTATTCAGGTATGTTATGACACACCCAAATCTTGCTGACATTTTTTAAATCCTTCCAAGTAAAATGCTTATCGTATATCTTAATGCTCTTTGAAGCAAATATTAAAATCCACCCTTTTAAAAGCCTTATTGTAATCCTTTAGACCAGCAGTTTTCAAAGTGTGATATAGGGACTTCTATGGGTTCCTGAAACCTTTTCAGGGAGTTCATGAGGTCAAAACTATTTTCATAAACGCTAAGACACTGTTTGTCTTTTCACTTTTATTCTCTCAAAGGGCACAGTGGAGTTTTCCAGAGGCTATATGACATATGGCATCTTGAATACAGAATCAGGTATGAAACTCTAGTAGTCTTCTACTAAGCCACACATTAAAGAGATCTGCAAAAATGTAAAAGCAGTATCATTCTTCTAAGAGTTTTGTTTTGGAAAATAATGGTTAGTTAAAATCATTTTTATATTAACATGGAATTGGCTGAGTATTTTTAAATGAATTAATATTATTCAAAAATATTCTTAGCTTTAATTTCTAATAGTTAAAAGATTACTGAACACACATTCAAAAAAACCTGGAATCAAGAAGTGGAATAACATCCTTAGCATATCTAGAAATAAAGAGAGGGAGAATATGACTCTCACTCTCATTTGTCTAGAAATTCTCAGTTTGTGATCTTGCAAATAAAGTATTCTGTGCATTCAAAATGGCAGGTTAGAGGAAGTTAAGGAAAGAAACAACTATCTAGCTTTACTCCAATCCTTATCACTTATGGATTAAAGAGCTCATACACACTACCTCCAAATAAAAATGAAACATCAGAGTGATTAGAAACGTGAATTTTAAACACTATTGGTTCCAGATGAAAAAATACAAAGCTTTCTTAAAATAAAAAGACAGTCATTTTTATTTATTTATGTATTTTGAGACATAGTCTCAAGCTGTCGCCCTGAGTAGAGTACCGTAGTGTCAGAGCTCACAGCAACCTCAAACTCTTGGGCTTAAGCGATTCTCTTGCTTCAGCCTCCCAAGTAGCTGGGACTACAGGCATCTGCCACAATGCCCGGCTATTTTGTTGTTGTTGTTGCAGCTGTCATTGTTAAACTGGCCCAGGCCAGGTTTGAACCCACCAGCTTCGGTGTACGTGGCCAGCGCCCTACCCACTGAGCACAGGGGCTGCCCTAGACAGTCATTTTTAAAAAGTAAAAAGTTTTGCCTTTATTTAATAAGAAAAAGATGAAAAATTTAAAAGAGATGTATATCAACATAAAATACCACCAGAAATCAGAAATGCAGGGAGATAGACCTAAACAGCACAGTTTACAATAAAGGTGTTCTAGTTTCCAATGTCACAGAAGATAAAAACGAAAAACTAGGAACTACCCTGGTTCTAAGGACTCATGAATCTTAGGAATGTTTGAATACCACTAATACAGAAGAAAGAAAAATTCAAAGACCTTGGTTTCTAGTTCTGACACTGGTATTTTTGAGAGAAAGATACTGAAAATGTCAACCAAATCTTTTCAAGCCTCAGTAACCTCACTTATTTATGTGAAGTACTGAAGGAAAGGTTATAAAGTCCAAAGAGAAAAATCTATTTGCAATACCTGGTGATCTTATATAATAAAAGTTCCAGATACAAACCTCTTGTTGCAGCCTTTTTAGTTCTATTTCCATTTGCTCAAGTTCTTGTTTACAGTCCAATAACTGTTCAGTCTTTTCCTCTCTTAAATACAAAAATGTATTTATTAAAGATTAACACAGTGCTTTTAAAAACTATGATTATCATCTGCATTGATACAAATGCATTGCCATTCTTAAGTAAATAGTCAAACATAGTATTTATTAGCCACAACCTCAACCCAAAGGAGAAAAAAAATAGGAAAATGCATATTAGAAATTTACATGATCAGATGTCATCATTCAAGTCTTCTCTTAGTATTTTCCAAAGACTAACCTCAATGACCAATGTCCTCATGGTTCATAATGTGGTTTCTCTCTCTCTCTTTTTCATCTTCCCTGACATCCTTTCCGACCCCACTCTGCTTTCTCTCCCTCTCCCTCTGTGCTTAGTCACAGACAATTAAACAGGATGAGCTATTATGCAAGGCAATGTGACCTGGGTCTGAGACATATAAGAGTCTCCAAACTATTTCAACATTTATAATGGCCTGAAGTTAAAAATACATTTCCTACTGTCATACAGATACCTAAAGTCTTTATATCTCTATTGGTTTCTGCTCTGTTGCATGTAAATATCCTCAAATTTCTTTTTTTTTTTTCTTTTTAATACTTTTTTTTTTTTTTTTTTGAGACAGTCTCACTCTGTCACCCTGGGTAAAGTGCAATGGCATTATCATAGGTCACTACAATCTCAAATTCCAGGGCTCAAGTGATCCTCCTGCCTCAGTATTCTAAGTAGCTGGGATTACAGGCCTGTGCTTGAAATGGGATCTCATTCCTGTTCAGGCTTGTCTTAAACTCCTGACCACAAGTGATCCTCCCACCTCAGTCTCCCAGGGTCGGAGGACTACCGGTGTGATGTACTGCTTTACTTCTAAGTCCCATTTTTCTTTTAACGAATTCATTCATTCATTCATTTAGACAGTCTCAAGGTGTCACCCTAGGTAGAGTGCAACAGCATCATAGCTCACAGCAACCTCCAAATCAGGCTCAAGTGATCCTCTTGCCTCAGTTTTTCTATTTTTAGTAGAGATGGGGGTCTCACTTTTGCTCAGGCTCGTCTCAAACTCCTGAGCTCAAGCAATCCACCTGCCTCAGCCCCCCAGAGTCCTAGGATTATAGGCATGACCACTACATCCAGCCCTTAAGTCCCATTTTCTATTTCCCCTTCACAGTCAAGCTCCTCAAAGTAAGCTTCCATCCACTACCTTTATTTTTCTACCTTTTGTTCTTTAATAATAAAAGGTAAATGCTCATTGTATAAAACAACTACTATTCTCACATCCTCATATGCTCACAACCATACTTTGTTTCAAAGAGACAGTGTCTTATTCTATCTGGATAAGACCAGGCTGAGTGCAGCAGCACGATCACAACTCACTAAACTCACTACAGCCTTGAACTCTTGGGCTCAGAAGATCCTCCTGTCTCAACCTCCTGAGAAGCTGAAGTTACATGCACATGCCACTATGCCTGACTAAATTTTGTGGGTGGGAGGGTTTGTAGAGACAGGGTCTTAGTACATGGTATGTTGCCTAGACTCACACTCCTGGCCAGCTGCAAACAATCTTCTGACTCAGCTTCCCGACATGCTGGGATTTCAAAATCATAATTATTATTATTATTATTATTTTTGAGTCTCAAGCTGTCGCCTTGGGTAAAGTGCCATGGCATCACAGCTCACAGCAACCTCAAACTCTTGGACTTAAGTGATTCTCTTGCTTCAGTCTCCCAAATAGCTGGGACTACAAGCACCCACCACAATGCTCAGCTATTTTTTGGTTGCAGTTGTCATTGTCGTTTGGCAAACCTGGGCTGGATTCAAACCTGCCAGCTCCAGTGTATGTGGCTGGCTCCCTAGCCGCAGAGCTACAGCTGCTGAGCTCACCATCATAATTTTTAATATTGGAGAAATACTTCCTTCATAATTAAGTGGATTCCATTTTTCACTGTAATACATACTGTTTTGGCTAATGAACTCATTAGTACACATAAATCCTGTATTATTTCAGGGCAGAGACAGAGGTCTTATTATGTTGCCCAGGCTGGCATCAAACTCCTAGGCGTAAGCAATTCTCCTTTCTAAGCCTCCACAGTAGCTAGCACTACAGATGTATGCCACCATGTAGAGCACTGAGGACACAATTCTAAAAATCGTTACAGGTTAAAAGGTACTTGATACAAGTTGAGTATCCCTTATCCAATATGTTTGGAATAAAGTACTTTGGGGCTGGGAACACTGGCTTTTGTCTATAATTCTAGCACTCTGGGAGGCTGAAGTGGGAGGATCACTTGAGGTCAGGAGTTCAAGACCAGCCTGAGTCAAGAGTGAGACCCTGTCTTTATTAAAAATAAAAAAATTAGCCAGGCGTGGTGGCAGGTGCCTGACGTCCAGCTACGTGGGAGGCTAAGGCAAGAGGATCACTTGAGCTCCAGAGTTTGAAGTTGCTGTGAGTGAGGCTAAAGCCATGGCACTCTAGTCCAGGGGCAGAATGGGATTCTATCTTTAAAAATAAAAATGGGGGGATTTAGAATTTTTTTTGATTTTGAAACGTATTTGCCTCATATACTTATCTGGTTAAGTGACCCCAACTGGAACATGCTACAATGAACATCTCCTTTAAGCATCATGTCACTGATACAAAGCCTTTAGATTTTGGAACATTTCAGATTTCTGATGTTTAGATTAAAAATACTCAACCTACACACATCTTGTGTCAAGCTACCCTCCAGAAAGGTCATTGCTAACTTATAATACAAGCGGCAAAACACAAAGGTATGTGAAACAACTGAACAATGTAAAAAACACTGTTGTTTTCCCATGGCTGTGCCATTAACATTTTTTCTGTTCAGAATTATTAGCTCATGTCTTATTTCTAACTTCCTACTGGATGATTTCTCTTTTTCTTACTGATAGAAAGCTATTACCTTTTGTGATTTATAAGATATCTCTTACAATGTCTCTTTTGGGATACTTTTTAAAAATTAGTTTTTGAATTGTGGTAACATATTTATAATTTGCTAGCTAAGAGTGGTGGCTCACACTTGTAATCTCAGAACTTTGGGAGGCCAAGACAGGAGGATTGCTTTAGGCCAGAAGTTTGAGACCAGACTCGGCAACATCATGAGAACCCCATCTCTTGCCATAAATAAGAAAAATTTTAATTTTATATTAGCTAGGTGTGGTAGCATGTGCCGCTAGTCCTAGATACTTGGGAGGCTGAGACAGGAGGATCACTTAAGCCCAGGAGTAGACGGTTACCCTGAGCTATGATTGCATCACTGCATTCCAGCCTGGGCAACAGAGCAAAACTCTATATCTACAAAGACAAAATTAAAAGTAGAAACAATTCAAATTCCCATCAACCAATGAATGGCTGATCAAAATATGGTATATCTATAAATGGAATATTAATCACCATAAAAAGGAATAATGTACTAATACACAGTACAATGTAGATAAACCTAGAAAACATTACGCCAGTCACAAAAGGCCATTTCTTATATAATTCCATTTATATGTAATGTCCAGAATAGGCAAATCCATGGAAATAAAGTTGATCAGTGATTGCCAGGAACAGAAGGCAAAGAGAGACGGGGAGTGAATGCTAATGGGTATGAGTTTCTTTTTGGGTTGATGAAAATGTCTTGAAATTAGACAGTGTGTGGATGACTGCATGGCTCTATGAAGAAACTAAAAACCATTCAATTATAACATTTTTTGAGCACCCCCCCTTTCCTAAATAGTATACCTGAAAGGATGATTTTCTGATACATGAATTATATCTCAGTAAGGTTCTTTTAAGAAAAAAAATTGGCTCGGCGCCTATAGCTCAACCGGCTAAGGCGCCAGCCACGTACACCTAAGGTGGCGGGTTCGAGTCCCCAGCCCGGACCCGCCAAACAACA